TCAGGGTAGTAAATGTTCATTCATAAATATTTCCAGAGCAGGCACGGGTACCCAAAAAATATTTCCTAAGGAAAAAAGAAATGGATCTATATAAATATAAATCCAGATTACCAGCTTGTTGTATGGAGACAAACAGACCCAACACCAATCTCAAACTTAACAATGAACACAACGGCCAAGAAAGGAATACACACATCCAAAAGTGGCAAGCAAAAAAATAAAAAATCTGGATTTATTATTATTAGTGAGGAATAAACAGAAGAAGGAAAGGAGACCAAGAGGAGAGAAAAGACATAAATTTGTCCTAGGGCTCTCCAAGGTGAGAAGCTGAGGTGAGCAAACCCAAGCTAGATTTAGAAGCAATTTAATTCATTTTTTTTGCGGAGTTTCTGAACCTCAGTGAGTTTAAGACGGTTGAACTTCCCACTCCCAGAATTCCCCGATTCTGCAGGCTGGGGAATTCTGGGAGTTGAAGTCTACCCATCTTAAATTTGCCGAGATTGAGACGTACTGACTGACGTCAATGGTTATTCTAGAAGGCCGAACGGTTCACACCAGGCTTGTGAGTGTGACACACACAACAAACAAAGAATGCAACCCTTTGTCTAGAAAGGGCTGCAAACAATTGACAAGAAGAACCAGGCTGCAACTCAACCGGTTTAGCGCGCTGCGAACGAGAGGCTTTGTCCGGGACCGTCACGCAATCAGCCTTCCTTCCTTCCCTCTGCAGATCCGTCTGTCAGCCGAGATTTAAAGCAGATCCACCCACGGGAAATTGCGAATTCGAATCTCACCGACAAAGGAATAATAATAATAATAATAATAATATTTTAAAAAATCACATTATTGTGGCTTTCGCCCCGCTCGTATATTAACGTTTTGCAGAAGAGGAAGGAAGGAAAGGATTGAAAATGTGGGTTTTGTGGTTTGTTTTTTTTTAAATTGAAAACCAAGCTTTCGAACCTCAACCGCCTAGTAGTCGACCACAAATTCCTTTTTTTTTTTTTTTAAATTGCAGGATCTCCAACTCAGGATTGTGCTGTCTTTTTTTATGGATTATTTATAAAAAGTTCTCTCAAATCAGAGCCCTCGCAATCCGAGCCGGTGTCGATTTCTTCCTCTCTCTCTTTTTTTTTTTTAAAGGATGAACATATAGATCACACAAGGCAGGGAACAAAGCATTGAGAGAAGGGGCAAAAAAAAAAAAAGGATTTGGGAGGGGGAAAAAATTGCTAATAAAACCACTCCTGTTTTTTACAAGGGGAAAAGAATTGAGATTGTTATTTAAAAAAAAGGAATGAAACACCGGCTCTCCAAAGCAAAATAAAGGAAATTAGGGCATGGTGTTTCCTTTGGAGCTTCCTTTCTCGATGGCAGGATGGGCAGCAGATCGATTTAATAAATAAAACAAATAAAAATCCCCTTCAAAGGAGGGAATTGCAATAAGATCGCCAGGAAACATCAACTGAATATTTCTGATTTATTTTTTAATTTTTGATTCAGCACCTGGTGAAGGCCGGGTAGTGTTTATCGGCAGTCTTTCCATTCAATCCCCTTGTTAGATAATAATAATAATAATAATAATAATAATAATAATAATAATAATAATAATAATAATAATTCCACTTTACTCGGAACAGCTTACATCCTCCGACGATACCTTAACAGTTCCTAGGTCCTTGGTTAGGACTCGAGCTGCTGAGCTATTAACCAGCCTCAAAGGCTGTGAATCTCACTAAAGATTAAATAATAATAATAATAATAATAATAATAATAATAATAATAATAATAATAGATACCTAGGACGCTGACAGCAACCCGTATCACCCATTAGCATCAGTCAATGGTATTTGTGACACATTTTTAAAAGTCCAGTTGACCGAGTTTCATTTTTAACGAATAAAAGAGAACAATAATAATAGTAATAATAACCGGTTTGTCACGAAACGTTAAAGAGACCGAGGCCCTTAAAATCTCACTGGATAATAAATCGCCGATATCAGATTTGGCCTTTTTTTTTTTTTTGCCACGTTCTATTCCAACGGTCAAAAGCAGATTAATTTTTCCACCGAGGCTTCCCGTTTGCTTGCAAAAAAATTTTTTTTTGCAAAACCGTTTCCAAATTTGCCTTCCCGGGATTTGCAAATCCCGGAATTAAGCCATTTCGTCTAGATTTCCCACGAGACCTGTGGCTTTTCTTTTTTTTTCTTTCCGAGAACAACACCACAGCGCCACTCTGCACGATTTCCCCAGGCGCATCTTTTAAGACATTGGGAGGAAGCCGTTCCCTATTTATTTCTGCCACGCAATTTTCAATCGCATTTGAAGACGGGTGAGACTTCAACTCCCAGGATTCCCCCGTCCAGAATTAAATTAAAGCGTTGCTGGCTTGGGGAATTCTGGGAGTTGAAGTCTCCCCCGTCTTCAAATGGCCCAGGTTCCAATCGCCAATTTGGTACCCTCCAGCTGTTAAAATCTGGTCCTTCCCAGCTAAATAGCCAGCCACACAAAATCACCCTTTAAATATCTCCCCCTCTGCATTTGAGACAGGTGCAAAAAACTCTATTTAGTTTATCTGCACTACCCTTCTGCCCATTTTCCTCCTCCCCAACCAGCTACCACCAAATGCATCTTCATCCTTTTGCAAATTCCATTTTATTTTTATTTTATTTGCAACCTCCATTTGCAAATTCCCCTGGGAATTTCTCTTCGCTCAAACCAGGCTGGTTCTCACCTCTCCTGCCCACCCTCCCCAAAATCCAGGACCAAATAAAATAAAATAAAAAATCCACACCAATCCCAAAGGTTACATGGAAAACAGAAGCAGTGTCATCACCTGGACAGGGAAAAAAAGCTGTTTTTTTAAAAAATATATATATATTTTTAGCATCCTCCATCTGCCCCGCTTGCCTTTGCAAAATCTAAAAATACTCCAAAGAAATATATATATAGAGAGAGAGAGGGGGGGGGGAGGGAGGGAGGGAGGGAGAGAGAGAGAGGATGCATCCATCTTAAAGAGGCACCCCACCCAAAATTTAAAAAAATATATTATCACCTCTTGGTGCCCCATCCTTTCCTTTCAAAGCTTTTGTTCCTTCCCCACAGCTTTGCAAAAAAACCAACAACAACAAAAAAAGGCGTTTTTATTGCAAAGGCTTCGATTTTTCACCATTTGCAATTCCCAGGTTTGGGGAGGAAAAAAAAAGAGCCTTTTTTTTTTTTTAAATGTATTTTTAAATAACACGCCCACCGTCCACCTGCATGCAAAATTAAGGGTGGGGGGAAAGAAGGACTCTCTTCCAAAATTGCTTTTTTTTTGTTTTTTTTTCTTTGTTTTTTGGATCTTTTTTCCCCTTTTTTTTTTTTTTTTTAAAGGGCTAGGTTGTTTTGCAAATAGCAGAGCCAAACATCCATACATTCAAATGCATGTATGTGCAATGCAAATGGATGGACTGCCATTTCAAAGGCACATCTCCACCCTAGATCAAGGGTTTTAAACAAAAAAAATATATATTTTAAAATGCAAAAAGAAAGAAAGAAAGAAAAAGACAGACAAAAGAACGAAAAAAAAGAGAAAGGGAGAGAAGAATGATTGGGGTGTTTTAAATCTGTCTGGGCCGAATTGTTTAATTCGGTTTTATTCTGGTTTTTTTTTTTTTTTATTTTCTATTTATGTATTTTATCGTTTGGCTGTTCACCGCCCTGAGTCCTTCGGGGAGTAGGGCGGTATATAAATCAAATCAAGATAAAGAAGATAGATAAAGAAGATAAAGAGAAAGAAGAAGGGAGAAAAAGAGAAAGAAAGAGAGCGAGAGAAAGAGAGAATGAGAAAGATAGAAAGACAGAAAGAAAGGAAGGAAGGAAGGAAGGAAGGAAGGAAGGAAGGAAGAAAGAAAGGAAGAAAGAAAAAAGAAAGGAAAGAAGGAAGGAAGGAAGGAAGGAAGGAAGGAAGGAAGGATGCATTCAAAGGCAGCCTCCTCCCTCCCTTTCTAACACCCCCCCCTCCATTTTCTTTCTTTCTTTCTTTCTTTTTTGCACGTTTGCAAAAGAGAAGGAGAAGCGTGCAAAGATGACCTCATTTCTTCCTGGAGAAAGGAATAAATAAAGAGAGGGAGGAATTGCAAAAAAATAATAATCATAATAATAAATTGCAATATTACCCGTAGGCTTTTTTTTCTTTCTTTCACCCCAGGCGGGTGGGGGGCGTTGGAAAGGGGTCGCCTCCCCAATTTTTGAGATTTTGGGGTGGGGGAATTTTTTTTTTTTTTTTTAAAAGCCTTTTTTTTAAGCTGTTTTTATTCATTGGGGCACCCAAGGTACATGCCATTCAATAGGGGGGGGGAGAGTTTAAAGCCAAGCCTTCCCCCCCCTGTTATTTGTCTTCTATGGGGAAGGGGCGCATGGAAGGCAGCAGCCCCCCCCCAAGATATCTGAACCCCCCCCTTTTTTTTTCATCACCCTGGATTATTTATTTATTGGATGGGGGGGGGGGAGAGAACAAGAGACAAGCAATTGCAAGAGGAGCATCAATTGCAGCAAAAGATAATAATAATAAAGATTGCTTTTCTGTATTTTATCTGTCCCTAACCCCCCCCCCGCCACTCCCCATTCACCAAAAGAGGGAGGGGGCGATTTGCCCCCCACCCCACCCCAGCCCCCCAGGCCAAAAAAACCCGAGAGAGAAAATGCGTGGGAGGGAAGGAAGAGTCGCTTTCCAATGCACCAAAACCCAATGCAAGCCGGGGAAACCGTGCACACGACGTCCGTCTCCTTGCAAAACGACCCTTCCCCACCCAGGGGAAAAAAAATAAATAAATAAAAACACCACCAGACCCCCCCCCCACACACACACACACCCCGTTACTGGCGGCGAGATAATAATAATAATAATAAATAAATAAATAAATAAAACTATCCCGCTTTTTTTGGCGTGCACCTGTTTTAATGCAAGAAAAGGAGCATTGCACGCCGGTGCCCGCGTTGCATCGAGCGCTACTTACATCGCGGAGGACGCTAGATGTGGCGGGCGGGCGGGCGAGCGGGCGGTCAGAGGCGGCGGCGGCTGGCGAGGCTCGCGCTCCCCGAATGAAGAGGCAGCAAAATGGCGGCCGGAGCTGTCACATCCGGGCATTTCAGAGAGGGGAGGGGGGGAGAGGAGGAGAGGAAGGGAGGAGTCCGCCATTTTGGTCGGCCTCTTTTTTTCCTCACAGGGCTCTGTGAGGAGAAAAACCCAATCCAATCCAATCCATCAGAATAGAGCTGGAAGGGGACCTCAGAGGTCTTCTAGTCCAACCCCTTGCTCAACCCTATACCGTTTCAGACAACTGCCCAGTCTCTTCTTTTTAAAAAAAAAAAAAAAAAACACCTCCCTAACATTTCAATAAAAATCGACTCAAAGCAGGACTCCCCACCCCAAGTGGGGGGGGGGAAACAACAAGATTCAAATATGGCGTCTTGAAGTCATAACTTTCATCTTTTAAACGAGCCCCGTAATCCCTTGCGAGGTGGGGGAGTTTCTGGGCCACGGAATGGAGCTGAGTGTTTTCCTGGCCGGATGCCCTTCCCTGTCGCCGGTGCGGAGTTTTATGTTCAGCAGATGTATTCTCCGTAATATTGAGAACGCGGACTTACATTCAGCAGATATATTCTCAGTAATATTGAGAACGCAGAGATATATTCAGCAGATATATTCTCCGTAATATTGAGAATGCGGAGTTATATTCAGCAGATATATTCTCAGTAATATTGAGAACGCAGTTACGTTCAGCAGAATATTCTCAGTAATATTGAGAACGCGGACTTACATTCAGCAGATATATTCTCAGTAATATTGAGAATGTGGAGTTATGTTCAGCAGATATATTCTCCGTAATATTGAGAACGCGGAGTTATATTCAGCAGATATATTCTCGGTAATATTGAGAACGCGGAGTTATATTCAGCAGATATATTCTCGGTAATATTGAGAACGCGGAGTACATTCAGCAGATATATTCTCAATATTGAGAACGCGGAGTTATATTCAGCAGATACAGTCTCCGTAATATTGAGAATGCGGAGTTACGTTCAGCAGATATAGTCTCCGTAATATTGAGAACGCGGAGTTACATTCAGCAGATATATTCTCAATATTGAGAACGCAGAGTTATATTCAGCAGATATATTCTCAGCTTTGGCCCAAAGAGAGAAATATCTACCTTTACCTAGGATTGAACTCATAGCCCCCTGATTGTAAGGTGACAGCTCTATATACGGGTAGTCCCTTGATATATTCTCATTGCGCTCAGAGAGAGAAATATCTGCCTCTACCTAGGATGGAACTCATGGCCTCCTGATGGTAAGGGGAGAGCTTCACCTCTAGGCCACCGCATCATTCTTGAAGTCATAACCTTGAAGACCCCAAATTGGGGCGTTTTGACCTACCTGACTGGAATCAACGGGGTTGGCCTGGCTTCGCACAAACCAGCTATCCTGGCTTTTGGAGACCAAGTGGTTGGGGGTTTAGTCCCGACTAAAATTCAACTAAACATAAGTGCCAAGCTAAGCAGGATTGAAGGCTGGGCAATGTCAAGTTGGCGCCTGGGGGATTTCACACCCCATCATCCCCAGCCAGCTTTATGGGGCGGATGGAGTCAACGGCGCGAAGAGTACCAGGTTGCAAAATAAGGCAAAAGATGTTAGCTGTATTTCCACATAAGACACACAAGTGAGACAACCAACACATTTTAGCCTGGCATGTGCCAACCTGGTTTGCTTCCGATCTTGGGTATACCCTGCCCCCACCTGGGAAACTGGGTTTTTTTCCCCCAATACACTTTATTAAGCTTTTATTACATTAAAAACATAAAAAATTATTTCACTCAACAACAGCTATTTGTGGTGCTTTTCTTGTGACGATAATTCGTGCATTATTTACAAAAATTAAATTGGGTGTATTTACATTCTTATTTTATCTATTACTTATACTTAATAACTATCTCTCTTTAATTTATCTCCGTTCTATCCAGTTATACCACTGTCCCACACATTGTAAAATATCGATGCCTCTTTATCTGTTAGACTCAGCGTTAATTTGTCCATTTCTGCGCAATTCATGACCTTTTGTATGACCAGTTTCTCTGCGGGTGTGCATGGCTGTTTCCAACATTAAGCGTAGGCAATCCTGGCAGCGGTTAATATGTGTAGTACTAGATATTTTGTGCCCTTCACATTTTTTTTTTTTTTTGGGGAAGATCCCCAATAGGAAGAGTTCCGGTTCTAAGTCTAATTGTTCGTTAGTAATTTCCTATAGCCAATCTTTAACTTTTAGCCAATATTTTCGAGCCTCAGGACAGGACCACCACATATGGTAGTATGTTCCCTTTTTCTTTTTACATTTAGGAAACTGGGTTTATTAAATAAACCACCATTACTTGGAAGCAAGCATAGAACTATGTAACCCCAGAAATAGGGGTTTCAATTTTATAGGCAGGGAAAGATACCAGGGGGGAGGGGGGGGAAGTGACTTACAACCAGTCCTCGCACTTACGATCGTCATCATACTCCATGGTCACATGGATAAATATGTAACAATTGAATTCTACCGAGTCCTCGGATCACCATTTGCAGGGCAGCTTCCAACATGCAAAGTCAATGGACAACTCTGGATTCCTTTAATGACACGATGCGTTTAATGGCGGTGATTCAACCACCATGGCAAAAAAAGGTCATGAAATTGGCCATGACGCACGGAAACTTGGTCTGCAACATAAGTTCTTGTCCCAGTCGTGATTGTGAGTCAACCTGTACAGTGTATTATTTGCAAACTACATAAAATGACAGCAATAAGTTTTTTTTGGGCACTGCGTAGCTGTTGTGAGCTGCTGGTTGATAAATAGAATTTAACCAAAAAAAGCATCTCGGTCCTTTAAACTTTAAAGTTTAAAGGGCTTGAATTCCAGTCGTAATTTTAAAGAAACGTGGATGCAAAAAACTCAACAAATATCGAGGCAAACGTTGAAACATTTAAATATTTATCTCGTGCTCACACCGGTGCACAAAATAGCCAAAAGCAAATTTCACAGCAAAAAAAAGCCCAAAATTACATTCCAGAGTGGCTAAAGCAGGATGGGATGGCTGCTGTGAACATAAATATTTATTTATCTTTATTTCTATCTTGCTTTTATTTTTACAAATTACTCAAGGCAGGAAACGTATCCAATGCACCTTCCTAATTTTTTTTTAAATTAATAAGTACAATATTAAAAGAGATGCAATCGGCAAACCTAAAGGGAACCAATCTCTATTAAAACCATCTTAAGGAGGTATCAAAATAGTCCTCAACATATGACTACAATTGAGCCCAACCTTTCTGTTGCTAAGCAAGACGTTAAATGAGTTTTGCCCCATTTTTTTTTACCGTTCTTGCCATTGTTGTTAAGTGAATTCACTGCACTTGTTAAGTTGGTAAGATGGCGCTTAAACAAATCTGTCTTTCCCCCATCACCTTTGCTTGTCAGACGGTCACAAAAAGAGGATCACACAACCCCGGGACACTACGACCGTCATAAATATCAATCGGCTGCCAAGCACCCGATTTCGATCACGTGATCACAGGGGGTGCTGCAACCTTCGTGTCGAAAATGGTCATAAAATCACTTTTTTTCAGTGCCGTTGCGTCTTTCAACGGTCGCTAAATGGAAGATTGTAAGTTAAAGACTACGGTACTTTACCGTTGTAACTTCGAACCGTGATTAAACAAATGGTTGTAATTCGAGGACCAGCTGCAATTCTTATTTCTTGTTTTATCCCTTTCAACAGTTAACCGAAACGTCATGCCAATCCAGGCAATTTCCATGTTCGCTGGTTCTTGGAACATCAGCACAACTTCCAGAAATACTGTACTTTTCGGAGTATAAGATGCACTCCCCTCCCCCAAAAGCGGGTGAAAATTGTGGTGCGTTTTATGCACCGAATGTTGCAGAAGCCCCGGCTACCCACCGGCCCCCACCACTGGCTGTTTTTGGCCTCCGCGTCGGTGGTGGGTTGCTCCCGGTTCGGTCCGGTTCTTGTGAACGGCAAGTAAAAGTGGTGGGAGACTCCGCCCACCCAGCAGGATCATGTATGATCTGCACATGTGCAGAAGTGTGTGCACTCCCATTGTAAACAGGTAGTAAAGGTAAGTGGAACCCACCCCCTGCTTCGCGCGTCACATTTTTGGCCTCCGCACGTCACATTTTCATCCGGTTCCAGACGGCGGGGATCGGTGGCGGTGAATGGGCTGCGGTGGCAGTGAATGGGCCGCGGCAGCAGCAAACGGGTCGCAGCAAACGAGCTGCGACGGCGGTAAACGGGCCACAGCGAATGGAGAAAGACAGATTTTTTTCCCTTGTTTTCCTCCCCCAAAAAGGTAGCTGCATGTCAAGTTTCGAGGTCGTCTCAAATAAATTGCATTTCAAACAAAGTCTTTGAAGAAAACTCCCATTTATTAAGCACGACATTCAAAGCACGACTCATCGTAGCCAACACTGACTTCCAGACCCAAAACCCTCCCTTTCCGTTCCCCACTCCCCTGCACTCATTGCCCGTCTTCCAAATCACTCTACCCCTAATCTACTGCTCCAGCTCAAAGGAATTTCCCCCCTCCCATCCCATCTCCTAGGGGATATAAGTAGGTGAAAAGTCAAACGTCCCTTTCCGCTCCTCCTTCTTATGTCAGCACAGGAGTAAATGCAGCTTGAAGTGCTGACATGCGTCTTATACTCCAGTGCGTCTTTTAGTCCGAAAAATACGGTAGATATTAGGAGAAAAACAACTAAAAAGTCCAAAAGCAGCCAAGTCTGAAAGAAAAATTTTATTAAACTTACAACAGTTCCCTAAAAATATATATACACAAAGATTGGGCATACCGTTTTGGGAAATAGTTGGCTTATTCCTTTTTTTAAAAAAAGAGAGAGACCCAAGGATCAAGATTTGCAAGAAGCTGCACAAGTGGCAGATCTGGGATGATCCCAAAAGAGATGATCAGCCAAGGTCAAAACATCAAAGGAGGATTCCTATGTCCAGGAACAGCTGCCCGTCCAGTTGAAGGCGGCCATACTCGTCATTTCCCAAGCTCTCCAAAATGAGATCCGTGTCTGTATCAGCTCTTCAAGTACAAATCTTGGGGTGCAAGGATGTTTCCAATCCAGAAAAAGTCGTCCTTCCCCCAAACCCTGCGATAACGCTCTCTCACCCCCCAAAAAAACACTTAGCAGCCCCATCCATTGGGGATGTCGTACAGCTGGGCATCCAAGTCCCTCCTGGCAAAGTTAGTTCGGGGACACGGGGTTGAAAACTGGGGGTAGCACCCGCTTGGAATGGGCTTTCACCCAAGGGTGCTCCATCACAGCTTGCAGCGGGATACGCTCGGATGGGTTGTGACGCAGCAGCTTCGCAATCAAATCCCGGGCGCCTTCGGTCACAAAGGGGGGGAACCGGAGATCTACCTGTTAGGAAAGGAAACGGAGCCAAGGTGAGCACACAACCGCACCAGGAAGGCACGGAGAAGTTTAGCAAACACTCGCAAAACTTGTTTCAGCCTAGCGACTTGTTTTAGTCGGCAACCCGTGGCTCTGGAGCCGCATGTGGCTCTTTCATCCCTCTGTTGCAGCTCCCCGTCGCTCAAAATATGTCTCACAACCGCCAATGTGCGACACCCACCGGCACGCAATTTACTGAGCTTTTCGACTCCCGGTAGGTTTCGTGGCTCCCGGTGGTTTTTTTTTTGTGGGAAACAGATCCAAATGGCTCTTTGGAGTGTTTAAGGTTGCCGACCCCTGGCCTAGCAGATTGGCCTGAATCCTAGGCATCGTGGCTAGTTCAAGAGCGGAAAACTGGGTTATCCGATCGACACAGGCGGCTTGTCCTTGAGCACACAGGTAGTCCGTGACGTACGACCACAATTGAGCCCAAAATTTCAGTTGCTAAGTGAGACATTCATTGAGTGAGCTTTGCTCCGTTTTACAACCTTTCTCGCCACCGTTATTAAGCGAATCACCGCAGTTGTTGAGCTAGCAACAGGGGTTTTAAGCGAATCTGGCTCGCCCATCAGTTTTGCTGGTCAGAAGTTCGCAAACGGGGATCACGCAACCCAGGGACATTCTCCTCCAAGAAGCTTCTTCAAGCTCTGACTTGAAGGGAAGGGAAGGATTGATACGCCTTGCAGACAGCTGGTCATTTGCATCCTTTTTAGGGAGCCGTTGAGGCCACTTGGAGGTTTGTCTGTGTCCTCGAGGTGCACCTCGGGGTGCGAATGGGCGTGGAGCCTTCTTGGAGCTGCTGAAAGGACTGCGTTATGGAGCTGTGCTTTCTGCAGGATGTTGTTGTGGTCCGCCAGCAGCCTGCAGAGCTGGCAGCGTAGTCGGACAGTGGGGAGGCTAGGGAGGAACGTGGGCCAGTCCTGGAGTCTGGGGAAGGCTCGGACGAGGGCTCTGTGTCGGAGGCAGAGATGGGACCAGGACCATCTGGGAGTGATGCGTGGACTCCAGAGCCCCCAGAGTCGGACAGCAGAGAGGCAGAGGAACAGGAGGAGCCTGTTCCTAGTGCGCGCATGCGCAGAGCTGCCAGAAGGCAAGAGCAGCTAAAGCAAAAGGGACGACTCAGGAGTAAGGCCTGGAGATAATTGGCCCCTCCCCGAAGGCTTAAAAGGGGAGCAAAGGCACATGGGCTCTTTGCAGGAAAGCAATGTTGTTAATTCTGTTCCCAGTCGGCATCTCTGTTTGATTTTGGACTCTGTGTGGCTTTGCCAAGTAGGTCTTCGGCAGCATGTCAGGGGAGATAAAGGTTGGTGATTATCCCGAAGGACTTCTCCCGAAGGACTTTCTGCAACTAATTTGGACTCAGCTGTGAATGAACGTAATTCACAGCTGTTGCCATAAAAGAGATTTTTGGGACTACACATGTGTTTTAATGACTCAGGAAGCCTAGGTCACAACAGATGTTTTCCGCATCTCATCCCCACAGACAAACCTCCAAGTGGCCTCAACGACTCTCTAAAACAGGGGTGTCAAAGCCTGCGGGGTGCTTAGATCCGACCTACGGGGCAGCCTTCTGCCAACAAAAATGGAGCTGTGGGGGGGGGGGGAAACGAGTGCCCCCCCCCCCCCGACGCTCCATTTTCTCTGGCGGAGGGCTAGCCAAACAAAACAAAAGAAGAAATGTTTCCCCTTTTGCATTTGAGCATCCAAGACGGGATAGGAAAGGAGAAAGAGGAAAGGCAATGAGAAAGAAAAAGAAGGAAAGAGAGCAAGGAAGGAAAAAGACAGAAAGTGTTGGGAAGGAAGAAGAAAGGAGAATGAAGAGGGAAGGAAAAAGAAGGGAGGGAGGGAGGGAGGAAAGGAAAAAAAGGAATCGAGGAAGGCAGGATTTGAGGAAGGCAGGAGGAATTGAAAAAGGGAGAGGGAGGAAGAAGGGATTAAAAGAGGAAGGAAGGGATTGAGGAAGGAGGAAGGGATTGAAAAAGGAGGGAGGAAGAGATTGAGGAAGGAAGGAGGGAGGGAGGGGAGGAAGGAAGGAAGAGATTAAAGGAGGAAAGAAGGAAGGAAAGGATTGAGGAAGGAAGGAGGGGGAGGAAAGAAGGAAGGGATTGAGGAAGGAGGGATTAAAAGGAGGGAGGAAGAGATTGAGGAAGGAAGGAGGGAGAGGAAGGAAGAGATTAAGGGAGGAGAAAAGAAGGAAGGAAGGGATTGAGGAAGGAGGGAAAGATTAAAAGTAGGGAGGAAGGAAGAGATTGAGGAAAGAAGGAAGGATATAATAGGGAGGGAGTGTCTGAGGGAAGTCCTGCCTTAGCACTTGGCCTCCACAGGTGACCCCCCCACAACACGAGTGATGATGAGCTGGCCACGCCCTCCCCCCCAGATCAAACACAACCCTGATGTGTCCCCCAATAAAATCGGGTTTGACACCCCTGCTCTAAAAGGCTGCAAATGACCAGCTGTCTGCAAGGAGTATCAACCCTTCCATTCCCCACCCTTCAGCTAGAGCTGAAGAAGCTTCTCGGAGGAGAAGCGAAACCTCTTCAAGGAAAAACTAGTTGCCTCCTGAGGAAAACAAAAAAGCACATTTGGGACAACCACGACCTGGATGATCTCTGTCAACCTCGTCTTGAATTAAACTAATTTTGGGCGGGACGTAATCCAGGCCAGGCTCACCGACACGATCCGTCGATACGTCTCCGAGTGGCATTCACTCTCGAAGGGCGGGTTCCCCACCAGGAACTCGTAGCACAGGATCCCGATGCACCAGAGATCCACTTTCTCGTTGTGGGCTTTGCCTTCGATCATCTCGGGGGGCAGGTAATCCAGAGTGCCGCACATGGTCTTCCTCCTTGAGGAACAATTGAGGGGAGGCGGGAGAAAAAAAAAGAAGCTGGAGACCCCGAGAAAAGCCCAGCGTTGTGAAATGCCCACCCCTGTTGTGGCCCGCCAGCGGCCAGCGTATCTGACAACGGATTCGGACAGTGAGGAGGTTAGGGAGGAACAGTCCTGGAGACTGGGGAAGGCTCTGCGTCGGAGGCAGAGAGGGGGCCAGGGCCGGATGCCAGTTATCAGCTGCCTTCGGAGTCGGACATCAGTGGGGCAGAAGAACAGCTGGAACCTGTTCCCAGTATGCGCATGGGCAGAATTGCCAGACGAAAGGAACAGCTAAAGAACAAGGGTCGACTCAGGAGTAAAGCCACAGGTGGACGCTGAATTCCCCCTATTCCCAGAGGGAATAAAAAAGGAGCGACTGGGGAGTGGAGTTTGCAGGAGACAATTAGTTCATTCCTGCATTCTTGCCAGGCATGACGGCGTCTGAAAGATATCAACGTGGCCACTCTCCAAGCTTAATAAAGGTCGGTAATTGTGAACGATCTTGAAAGACTGTGGGAGAGGAAAGACTTGGCTGGGGAGGAATTAACTGTCGATGAAATAAAAGGGGTTTATCGGGATGAGGACTCAGCTTCCAAAGCCAAGGGGGGCGAACGACCCACCTGAGCGAGGGGGCATGCACCGACCAGCCGAAGTCAGCAATCTTCAGCTCCCCCTTCAACCCCATCAGCAGGTTCTCGGGTTTGATGTCCCGGTGGATCACCTTCTTATTGTGACAGTACAGGAGGGCATCGGCCAACTCTTCCATGAACTGCAGAAGACAGGCGACAAAAAGGGGTTGGGAGGAGTTGGTAATGCCACCCACTACGAGAGGCCCGAGCCACCCCAAATGCCCGTTTGGTGCACGAAGGAAGGGGAGAGAGGCTGGCCCAAACCCACTAGGCCTCAAGAGAAAACCAGAACTTATAAAATTATTGTGGGGTCCTGGATGCTCTCTGAACTGGGTTGTTTTCTTGCAGGTGTCGTTGCGTGGCCCAGCGAGGTAACGCCATCAGTGCTAGAAGGAAGTGGGGTTCGTGGAGAAGGAGGAGGAAGAGAAGAATTGTGGGGCCCTGGATGCTCTCTCAGCTTTGTGGTTTCCTTGCAGGTGTCTCGTGAGCCAACTAGGTAACACCATCAGTGCTAGAAAGGAGTGGGGTTTGCCGTCTCTTTACGGGAGAGGGTTCTCGGTGTTGCCTTGATTAGATTGTTATTTAGTGTTAGAGTCTTTTTCTGAGTATACAATTCCCTGATTGGGGAATTGTTTACTTGATCGTTGGTCCAGTATTAATCCCTGCTTATCTGGGTGTTGATGGCTGGCAAGCTTTTGTGATCTTTGCCTGCTTTACATGGTAGGTAGATGTTGCTTATCTCTATGTGCCTGTTGATGGCTGATTTGTCCGAGAGCCAGAGATTATCTACCATTTTTCCGGGAACTGTCTACGATTTTTGGACTTGGCTTGGCCTAGCATGCTCTAACAGTAACAGAGTTGGAAGGGACCTTGGAGGTCATCTAGTCCAACCCCCTGCTCACACAGGAGACCTGTACTAGCGATTCGAACCGCTGACTTTTTTGATCGACAAGCTCAGTGTCTTAGCCACTGAGCCACCAAGTAGAGGAGGTGCTCACCCTCCGCAAATTGAAACTATGGTCTCTCCACGTATTGTGAAATTAGCAAATGCCGAATTAAGGCACCACCAAGGACACACACACACAACAAGGGGAGGGCAAGCAACTATACAAAATATAAACAGGGAACAAACCCCACACTCCCTGACATGGATGATGTAACCTATTGAGGTCATGAAACGTCTCCCAAGAAAATCACCAAGCTCAGAGTGCCCCAAGGATGCCACAGTTCTCCTCCTCCCCCTCCCCACCAACCCCACTCCCTCCTAGCACTGATTCCATTCCCTAGTTGGGTCTTGAGACGCCTGCAAAAAAACACCCACCTCAGAGAGCACCAAGGACCCCACAGTCCGATCCTGAGCCACGAAGATTCTCTTTTTAAATAAATTATTAAAAGACAGAGCTCCAGGCCTGCTGCCCCCGCCCCCCGCCCGTTGAACCTGAAGTTGCGAAGTTTGAAAGAGGAGACCCAAAAACTGTCCACGTTTTCCCCCATCGAAGGACAAAGACTCCCTAAGTTTCCAGTCCTCAAGAGGATGGCTGACCGTGGCCGTTCTTTGCTCATCGAAGCGCTGGTATTTCTGCAGCTCCTTGAAGAGCTCCCCCCGAGGGGCGTATTCCAGGATCAGGTAGACTCGCTTCTTGTCGTGGAAATAGTTGTAGAGGCGCAGAATGTTGGGGTGACTGCGGGAAGGGGAGACACGTTAAATGGCAACCCTGGGAATTTTTTTTTTTTAAAAAAACCCCACTTTCTCCAGCTTCCCCACCACCATCTTAACGCTACACGAACCCTATAATCTCAGGCAGGGTAACCTTCCGAGCGCTCGGGGACTACAAAGGTAATCGAGTTACGACCGTAATGGAGCGTGCCCATCACTGCGATCATCATAAACACGAGCCAGTTGCCAAGTGTGTTTCGATCGCGTGACCGGCAGCGACCGTACGGGTGATAAAACAGTCGTAAGTCACATCGTTCAGTGCTGTTGTCGCGTCAAACGGGTCGCTAAACGAACCGTTAAGAGGTGTGCGGTGGCCTAGAGGCGGAGCTCTCGCCTCCCAATCGGGAGGCCGCGAGTTCGATCCTAGGGAGAGGCAGATAGTTCTCTCTCTGGGCACGATGAGAACGTATCTGCTGAACAAAACTCCGCATTGGTGACAGGAAAGGCATCCGGCCAGTAAAACATTCTGCTAGCTCCATTCAGTTGCCCAGACTCCACCCCGCAAGGGATTATGAGGTCGTTGAAAGATGATGATGATGATGACTAAATAAACTGTTGTTTTGGTGTAGTGGGAATGATGTGGTCACGAAGCTTGGTTGTAAGGCGAGGACTACTGAGAAGCCGCAAAAGGCTCGGCACGCTCCCAACTGTGACTCAAAGCCACTGTTGTGACTCTGACTCCCGAGCCTGTCCTCATGGAGGAAGAGGACTCAGAAGGTGAGGGGGAGGAACTGACAAGGCCTCCCTCTCCAGGACCCTCCTCTCTGGCAATGCCTCAGGTTCCATCTGAAGGCCAGGAGGAAGGCATTTCGGAGCACCCATTGATAAGTGATAATGATGAATCCTGGCTTGATCCCAGGCAGCGTCGGAGGGAGAAGCGTGCGCAGCAAAGGAAGAGGCATGGGAGGGCCAGGGATTGAGCTGAGTCACTGAGCCACGCCCCACGAGGGATAAAAGGGGGCGTGATTGCTCGGCAGGCTTTGTGACGGACAAAAGTTTAAACTCTAAAGAGTCACATTGTGAATCCTGCACTTCGGCTCAGATATATTTTAGACTAAACTCTTGTGGATAATTTGTCGCTCTGGAAACGGTCTTTTTGGGAGTACTAATTAGACTTGGCAGGCGTTTTACAACTGTTGTCTGCCAGGAATTATGGTCTGTTTATACAATAAATTATTGGCAGGCGTGTTTGATATTGCATTTGTCTGTGTGAGGACAGGGGACAGAACAGCCACCCCCCTGTAAAGACCCATACATATACAGCCGTACCTGAGATGACACTGGATCTCGATCTCCCTCCGCAGCTGGTGCTCCACCCCTTCCTTCTCCATCTGGGATTTGAAGAGCACCTTCAGCGCCACAATGAACTTGGAGGTCTTCTCCCGGGCCAGGTAAACGTTGCCGAATTTCCCTTTGCCCAGCGGCCTCCCGATCTCAAAATCGTCGATGGTGAAGATCCGACATGGCCTGACGTGGGGCAGAAGAGAATCAAGTCAGAGAAAAAAAATATATAACTTTTTTTTCCCCCATTTAATGACCCCGTACCGTAATTCCTTGCGGAGTGGAGTCTTGGGCAACTAAATGGAGAAAAGTGTTTACTGGCTGGATGCCTTTCCTGTTGCCAATGAGGAGTTTTGTTCAGCAGATATATTCTCATCGTGCGGAGAGATAGAAATATCCGCCTCTATCTAGGATCAAACTCGCAGCCTCCCAATTGTGAGGCGAGCACTCCACTTCTAGTCCACCGCACCACTCAAAAATTATACATATAAATATGTCAATGA